TTTTGGAAATAGATAAAAGTTATTAGACTAGGTGCTTTCTGAACCACAATAATATGTTTTCCCTAGATCTCTCAAAAGCGAAGGATTTTGTAACAACTTGTAATAGCGCTTTCTATATGAGACAATATTTATGTTAGAGTGAGAAAAAATCATTTTTTTTTCCCAGATTCTGGAATAATGTTGAAAAAATTCTCAGCATTTGTGGTGGAGGCAGAACGGCTAGCTGGATCATGACGTACAAGGTGTCGTGTGAGACGGTTTAACAGAATAGGATGACAAAGAAAAATTTATCATGGCTGCATGCCAAAGGGGCTACTCGTATCTTTACTATTATCGGTGCAATCGTGACACAAAGTCGATTATTTGATAAGATTTAGCAAGTAGAATAAAATACCAAAGAAAAATAAAACATAGCGGTATGCCATAAAGACCTTAGGCTTATATCACCTAAACGCATTATCATGGAGATAGGTACGATGTGTTATTTGGCAGAATTTATTGAATAAAATACGATAACAAAGAAAAATTAAACATTGCGGTAGGTATACGAAAGGAGCTTTAGATCTCTGGAAAAAGTTCGTATTGTGGTCGAAAGAGCACCTATTCTAATTACTTATAAAGCAGCAAATATGTCACTGTTGACAGACAGACATTATCGTAAAGAAATTAGCAACCAAGTAAAAGATTCGACAAAATTGCAGACTATCAAGTAGAATTTGTAAAATTTGTTGAAACAAAATTTAAAAATCAATTAAAAGCTGTTAATTCCTTTCGAGATCTTAAGACGAAAAGACTTGTATGGCTCCTGTTAAAGCTATATTCAGAGGATATACGAAGTAAATTACGAAGGAATTTTATTCCCATAGAAATATGAGAATAACTATTACTTACTTTAAATTTTGCGAATGATTAAGTTGTTGTGAAACACATAATTTCCAGAAACAACAAATTCATGCTTGATACTATCAGAGTCTTTGGTGATCAGCAGAAATAGTAGATTTCATGTACTAATTCTCGAATACTCGAAAATCGGTCGAAAATGATATACTCAGTTAAATGAGTTTAAATATTTGATTGCGATAGTAGATAAGAAAAGACTCAGAGAAAGAGAAATCTACCACAGAATTCAAGATAAGAGATAAACAGAAAGCAACTGCAAACAGCAGTTGCTGTCCAATAGCAAAACAAAACTAACTTAGTTTGGCCTTTCAACGAGAAATTTGATATGAACTTCATCGCAGTAACATGAGATGACAGTGTGAATACCACTTAAGGAATAAAATTATTCTCTTTTTTTAGAAAACTATAAAAAACGCTGGGACCTCGCTACTTGTAAATTTAAACGTGTACTTTATAAGTATAAATTTTATTGTACAGGGTGATTTCCGTAAATATAGCATAGTCCATAATCTTTATTTTTAATAAAACCTCCCTGAAATTTTTTGTATTTTTAAAAGCTCTTTAATAACCCGACTTAAAAACTGACTTTACAATATAGGGTTTATTATAAATAAAATAATCACAATAATATAAATATTACGCTTAATATAATGGTATTTTTTTAATTTGCTTAATATAGATATTTGCATTTAATCTAAGTGTGAGTATATTGAGTTTTGATAGCTGAAAACAAGTAGCTGAAAACTGTCTAGATATGGCCAATAAATAAATTAAATTGGTACATAATGTGGATTTTTATCTATTAGTTATTGATGTATTGATATTTTACATTAAACTAGCAAATTCCTAATTAAAAATTAATTTTTTGCGGAAATGATCACAAAATATTTAACAGAGACTCACTGAATTGAGCTTTTAATGATGATCGATTAAGGGGATAATTGCAGAAGTCAAGTTGAAGTGAGAAACTCATGTAATCAAAGGTATCCTCATTTGAATAATATTTGGCCATCTACTCTGAACTGCTCATCTATAGTCATAAATCTGTGATAAGGTGTTTTCATGAAGAAAAGCTTAATCCATATAAACTGATTTTTGCGTACAAAAGATTATCTAGATCGTAGAATGACTTTCTGTGAAAAAATGATGAATAATCTGGACAGAAATAAAATAGGTGCTTATACAATTATTTTTTCTGATGAATTAACATTCACATTGAACAGGAAGGTGAATCTACAAAACTGTAGATGTTGGTCAGCAGAGAACCGTCATTGGATGCGTGAGACAGATACTCAGTATCCTCAGAAGTTGAACATTTGGGCAGATATCCTAGGTGATTGTATTATTGATGAGAATTGGACAGTAGAAAATATTCAAGCATAATTAGAGATAAAGTTATTCCTGTGTTGACCAACTTATATCTCAAAGCAATAGATAACGAATGAAAATATCGGGTTTTAGCAGGACGGGGCAACACTCCGTTATGCTTAATTCTAAGATTGTAAGAACTTACTTAAACAAAATCTTCTCCAATAAATGTATTTTACGAAGAGTAATTATTGAGTGACCAGCTAGATCGCCAGACCTTACGCCCTTGTTTTTTTTCTGTGGGGTGATCTTAAGAACAAAGTATGCAAAGTATGAACACAGATAACTAGGATAAATATAGAAATACGAAATATTTTATGTTACGGAATGTTGCAAACTTTAAGAAAAGTTAGGGGACAGTTTTATAGGAACCTCTGTTATTGCCAGTAACAAAGTTGAATATTTAATTTAATGTTTTAAAGAAAATTTTAAACAAGTTCAAAAATACACCTTGTAGTATTTATAACACACTCCTGGATTAGATTATTAATGAGTTGTTAATAAGAGGTTTTACTAAAACAATATAAACTATGCAAGACTTGCGTAAGTCGTCCTCTATTAAGTATAAAGATATAAATATATATATATATATATATATATATATATATATATATATATATATATATATATATATAAATATATATATATATATATATATATATATATATATATATATATATATATTTATATTACAATTATATCTTTTAAAAACAAAGATCATCCTAAAATATTTCAATCATATAAAACATGTAGTACTGAAAAAAATACTGAAATTTGTCGTACTTAGAATATGAGATCCACTCAAGAAATCTTGGATGAATTATTTATTCAACTCTATCATATAATATTCTGGTAATCTAATATTTTTTGTGATGAATGTGCAGCGATATCTTCATATTGCTTTGGAGTACTCGATAAAATTTCTAAAGTTGACCTGTTTCGTTTGTTTTACCACTCTCAACATACTTTTGAATATTATATATAAAACCAATCTGATCATTTTTCATTTACATTTAAAGTTTTTTAGATAGTAGATGACTGAATTAAAAAGTAAATATTGTTTGTGGAATAGCATAATCTACTGTAAATACGGTAAACATATACAATATACTATATTTTACCTGATTGTGCGAGGCACCAGGCACTGCAATGTTTATTATCTGTCTACCTTTCTCCTGAAAATGGGTTCTTTTTCTTATAAATTCATTACATATTTCTAATAAGTCAAGAAAATAAATGGTGATTGTGAAATATTTTATTTACCAGTTAGGATCGATAGTACAAAAATTATACTTAAGTAAAACTAAATTAAAAACTTAAGAAAAACTTTTCCCGCCAGTTCAACCAAAAGTTTCAGTTCTGGTCAATCTAAAGTCCTCATTTAATGTCATTCATATATGACTTGCTTCGTTGATAATCTTAGGGCGGTTTTAAGTTTAATGAAAAATGGTAAAGGTTTTTAAAATGGTAGCACAAATGGGCTGTTCAAGAACAAAAAGAAAGATTATTAAAGTTAAATTTATAAAAAAAAATATATTTGCTTCTTTGTCTTTTAACAATACTTTTAAAAATATGTGATGGATCTGTTGATATTTAAGCGAAATGTAGAAGAAAAACCATACGTATAATGGATATGGAAATACATAAGTTTCATCCAAAAACTAGGCTATCGAAGCAGATGAAACAAAGATATTAAATAAATAAATTGAACGTATGAATCTGGAGAAAACGAATGATTGGCAGAATTCTCAATGATGATTCATGAAGCAATGTTTCTTGATACGAGGAAGACTAACCTTTATTAGACAATGAGTCAATCAATCTTTTAGAATTATATTTTTGGTGAATAAATGACCACAAAATAAGTGAAATTAAAGATAAAATAAATTATGCAAGTGAAAATTTTAGATAATAATTAATAATTAAAAAAAAATTCGAATTCGAGTTCTTTTTGGTTGTTTTTCATGTTCTACGGAAATTTGCCAGAGAATCGTATATTTTTTACATCATTAAAAAGTAGAGATTTCCGCGAACAAAAATTTACGACAATAAAAAAAACTACGGCAATTTTAGATCAAAAATCAGTTTTAAATCAAATTCAAATAAAAAAAATTGCACTCTATTTTAAACACAAAAGAGTATGTTTTCTCCATATTTTGTAAAAAAAAATTTTTTGTGGAAGATAAAAACAAAAATCCAAAAACTTGGTTATTTGAATTTTTCGCATAAATTTTAAGGTTATGTGAAAAAAGTATAAACACAAAAGTTGTAGATCTTTTATAACCTACAATTTTTCCATTGACCTTTTTCCCATAGGACTTATAATTTTGCCGGAAATCGTGATAAACCAGTTTTTGCCCACCCACAAATCTCAAAACTTCCACTTCCCAACCTCAGAACGCCAATAAATTATTTTTCTTAAATTTTTGTCCTATTTTCTTTCCTTTTTAATAGTTGTCAATCTAATAGTATTTTTTTTCACATTTTATCACCTTCAAAGACTTTTACCCTGACTTACAAACCATAATTGTGAAGAAATTTTCATACAGAAAATATTGTTGAATATATTTGATGTTAAAAATATAAAAATCTAAAATTTTTCACTGGCCATACGAAAATTTCTTTTTTTAACATTTGTTATTGAATTTATGCCCAATAATTATAAACAAAATATATGTTTCTTTAAAAGATATATTTTAATCTATATTATATTGTAGCGCGGTAAATATTACCTTAATTTTGTTTGGATCTGATATTGTATTTAGTATATCTTGCGATTTATCCTAAAAATAGGTTTTATTTGTATAAATTTGTAAACGATTAATTACAAGTTACCTTAAGATGTAACGGATCAGGAATAATGTTAGGCATATTACCAATAATACCTGCAAGTCTCTTAGGTTTTTCCTAAAAACATTATAGGAAAATGAAAACTCAGCTAATATCAAGTATAAATAAAAGAATCTACTTACTTACATCAGCAACATAATTTTTATCAGATATTTTACCTTTCTCCATAAGAAATAATTCTAGCTAATAGTAAATTATTTAAATTATACCTTAAGGTGTAGCGGATCTGGCAAAACGTTAATAAAATCTGTAGTATGATCGACAACATCGCCAAGTTTGCCTGCAAGTGCTCTCGATTTTTCCTGAAAGGTTCAGGAAGGTTAAAAGTAGGTTGACAAAGCGGAAAAGAAGCAAAATAACCTGACGTCAATATTTTCAAATTAAAAACTATTAATAAAAAATATATGAATGGTAACACTGTATGATAAGACTGAATTGTAAGCCGTATTAAAGTCCATTGGGTTTTTTAAGTCCCCTGCAGTACGTTCTGTCGTTTAGTCCGTGTAGAAGATTGAACTCGTACTATCCAGCTTTCTAGGCCAGTTTGTAAACATAGCCAGTAAGTTACGTTCGTCAGTTTTAAAAGACTTGCTGTAATTTTGTTTGTAATATACTAAAAAACGATCACGATCAAACGATCTACTTGTAAAGTAGATTCGTCATAGTTTTCACAAGCTCTTAACCCTTTTCTATAACCTACCACATTTTTATATAATTTCAAATTTTTTTAACTCTTTTATTAAGAGCGTAGATGCAAAAAATTTCGGGCCAATGCTTTTTAAATGCATTCATTTTTATCGGATCCTGAGAAAACTAACAAATATTTTACAAAAATTTAATTTCAGAATAGAAGTTTACATTATTACCGAGAACAGAAAGTCCCTTAGAATGAATAAAGGGTTTTTTTGAATGAGATATTTGAAATTAAAATCACACTAAATTTTCTCTTTTTTTCACTCCTGTAACTTAATAAAATATACAATATATAAGTTTTCAGGGTCTTTCGGCCCTCAGTAATAATGTATTCTTTCAATCTACGTTTAAATTTTTCAAAAATACTTATTAGTTTTTTAGGATTCGAAAAAAATGAAATTGTTTTGAAAGCTTGAAATTTTGCGCCTACGCTTTTAATACTTTAATTTCATAATATAATATGTTTTATATATATTTTATTAATATGTATCTCTCTGACGCCGTTTTTTTTTTCATCAATTTTTTGTTTATTTTTTGAGATAAAAAATATTACGCATAAAACTGCTAAATGTGCACACTAACGATGTTATTCAAGTAGTTCCTGCAAACCTAGAGGTCTAGTAGAATTTCAAAAATATTCGCAGGTCCCCGTATAGTTGAAATTATTGATTTAATCAATTTCAGTAACAGATATTGTTTCACATTCAACAAAAATTATTTTTTACCTGATAATATTGATATAAAATTATTTTGTTTCCTTTTTATGAGTTAAGTACCTTAAGGTTTAAAGGATCAGGGAGATTATCTATAATATTATAGGTATTTTCAACTGCACCAGATATTTTTCCCTAAAATTTGTTTAAATTAGATTTATTTCAGTATATTGTTAGTTATTCTGTCGGACCTTTAGGTTAAGAGGATCTATAATGTTACCTAGCAACTTTCCGGGTTCGTGTCTATTTTCTATTATGTCTTTAGCCTTATCCTAAAATAAAAAGGCAAAAATAGTACGCAATTAACACTATATAATAAATAATTACCTTAAGGTTTAAAGGATCCGGGAGAATACCGATAATATTGTGAGTATTTTCTACTGCACCAGAAATTTTGTCCTAAAATTAGTTTCAATTACGAGTTTGCTAAGTAAGGATTAGTGTTGAATGCTACCTTTAAGTTAAGAGGATCTATTATGTTACCTAAAACACTTCCAGTCTCAGATTTATGTTCTATTATATCTATAGCCTTATCCTAAAACAGATAAAGGCAAATGTAGTACCTAGTTAACACTGTATCACTAAGTAGTACCTTTAGGTTAAGAGGATCTATAATGTTACCTAGCAACTTTTTGGGATCGTGTCTATTTTCTATTATATCTTTAGCCTTATCCTAAAATAAAAAGGCAAAGCTAGTATGCAGTTAACACTATATAATGAAGAATTACCTTAAGGTTTAAAGGATCCGGGAGAATACCGATAATATTGTGAGTATTTTCTACTGCACCAGAAATTTTGTCCTAAAATTTGTTTAAATTACGAGTTTGCTAAGTAAGGATTAGTGTTGAATGGTACCTTTAAATTAAGAGGATCTATTATGTTACCTAAAACACTTCCAGGCTCGGATTTATGTTCTATTATATCTATAGCCTTATCCTAAAACAGATAAAGGCAAATATAGTACCTAGTTAACACTTTGTAACTAAGTAGTACCTTTAGGTGTAGCGGATCTAGTATGTTGCCTAAAACTGAACCCTGCTCTGATTTATTTTCTATCAGATCCTTAGCTTTGTCCTAAAATTTATAAAAACGTACTATCCTATTTATATTTATATAGTTTAACTAGTACCTTTAGATGTAAAGGATCCAGTATATTACCTAAAACTTTACCATGATCGGACGTATTATCTATAATATCTTTGGCTTTGTCCTAAAACATACTTAATAGTACTACTTTAATTTTACTTTAACACTTCTACAGTACCTTTAGATGAAGAGGATCTAACATATTACCCAAAATGGTACTGCCACCACCTTTACTATCTACCATTTCCTTAGCTTTATCCTAAAATATAGTTAAAGCTAATACGTAATCTATATGGACAGAAAGTACTACCTTAAGATGCAGCGGGTCTAACAAATTGCCCAATAGATCTCCAGAACTGGACGTTTTGTCTGTTTCTTTTGATTTTAAAGGATCAGTGACGTTTTCTACGATGCTATGTGCATTTTCAGCAACGTCTATTACTTTTCCTGTGAGATCTTTAGTTTTATCCTAAAATATTTTAAATAATAAATTATATCTATGCTGTATATATATATATATATATAAACAGAGTAGGGTAGTACCTTTAAATGGAGAGGATCTAGAATATTACCCAAAAGACTTGAGCCTGATTTGTCCTCAGATGAGTTGAGTTTGTCCTAAAATTTTGGTGAATGATAAACTTAGTTTATGTCACACAGACAGTACTATTTAATATAATATAAAAGACTTAGAATTTGTTTTTGTACATATAATTCTGGTTTTAACTTTTGGATAAGATAGAGTATTACAAGTTTTGATTGAGATTCATGGACTAAAAAATGATGATTTAGTTTTAGGACGAAAAAATCTTCAATAAAATAGGTACTTGTTAGACAAAATATGAGTATACAGAAGGTAATTTGCCAAAATAAGTATACTAGTAAGAAGTAGTTTGATGTTAAAAATAAAGCAAATATGAACTTAAGGAATGAAAAATCGTGGCTTTCTGATCAGAATAACGAAACTAATTGCTTTATTATTTTGTAATTTTAACCCTATTTTAAATTATCTCATTTTAAAAGTTCATACACTCGCACTTTAACAATTTTTAAAGCTCCTAATACTTGTATTGTTGGTTGTGTCAATGCATAATTTATTATAATTAGTGTGAAATAATGTGTTATGTACCTTTAAATTAAGGGGATCTGTAATATTTTCTACAGCACCGGCAACTTTTTCGTGTAAATCTTTTGCTTTATCCTAAAATAATAGGAATTTGTTATTAATATCATTATCAATATTTGGCTAACAAAGTAGTACCTTTAGATGTAGAGGATCTAGTAGATTACCACGAACATGTTGCGGTTTTTCAGTTGAATCATTAGATTTATCCTAAAAATTATTTCAAAACTGTTTTAGCATTATTTTTCTGTAGACAAAACATAATATACACATAGAAGTAAGTAATATTGTCAAGTTTGTTGTTAAGACTTTCATTTACTATGAGGTATTACGATGATTGCTTTTTAATGCAATATCGTATTTATACTATGTGAATTACAGAAAATGTTATTACTCTTCAAACACTTAACAATACTTAACTATAGTCTGGCAAATATTAAATGAAACTACAAATCAGAAATGATGCGCCGTAAGTGATCAAATGTACCTAAAATCACGTGCTCATCAGGAATTTTAGGAAATTTTAAATGTGATCATTGGCGGAGCGTAAGAAATATGTTTCATTGCAGTAACTTGCACCTTGCATACATTAGATCTAGTTTATAAAATAAGTTCTAATTGACATTTATAATGGGTCCACAATAATAATGATATAGATCAATATGAGTCTCTGTCATTTACCTGTCGGTCCCGGAATCCTTGAGACAGACCTTTAACAAAAGCTTGCCGACTACTTGTTTAACTACACATTTTTAACAGTATGTCCAGCATTTTGTCTAAATAATAGATTTTTCTATTTTGTTCACGGAACTCTGACATTTTACGCAGATAGTTGCAACGCCATGTAATGATTTCAGATTTCTCTGTCAACGTTGAATTATTGTTCTATTTAGCATAAATAAATTCCAATGTATGTAACTTATCACGAGAGACACTTCCCAAACATTTGCCAGACTTGTAACTCATTCTGTATTATTTTTATATTTATTTTTTTTTTAATATAATTAATTTTAAGTTTTTGTGTTATGTACCTTTGAATTAAGTGGATCTATAATATTGTCCACAGCACCGGCAACTTTCTCATGTAAATCTTTTGCTTTATCCTAAAATATTAAGAATTTGTTATAAGTACCAAGTAGTTATCAATATTTGGAAATTAAATAGTACCTTAAGATGTAGAGGATCTAGTAGATTACCAAGTATATGTTGCGGTTTTTCAGATGAATCATTACTCTTTTCCTAAAAATTATTTAAAAACTATTTTTCTGTAGGCAAAACATAACAAAAGTAACTAATTTGATTAAATTTGTTAAGACTTTTACTATCGTAATTAATTAATTACGATGATAAAGAAACAATGATTATTTTTTAATATTCTGGTGCAATATCGTATTTATACTATCAGAAGTGCAGAAAATGGTACTACTCTTTGAACACTTAACAATTCATAGCTACTCCAACTCACTCTTTTCATGTGAGCAAATATTCAAAACTACAATAAATAGTATTCAAATTTTTCAGTAAAATTCATTCATTTCTTGTACTTTAACAATTTTCAATTCTCGCACTACTGGTATAATGAATACATAAATTTACTTTGTATTATATTTTGTGAACTGTTATTGAGTTATATACCTTTAAATTAAGTGGATCTGTAATATTTTCTACAGCACCCGCAACTTTTTCGTGTAAATCTTTTGCTTTGTCCTAAAATACAAAAATTTTTAAAAGCAACCTTGTCAATCTATGACAAAATAGTACCTTTAGATGTAATGGATCCAGTAAATTACCAAGTAAATGGCGTGGTTTTTCATCTGAATTATTAGTTTTTTCCTAAAATTATGTAAAAATAAACTTTAAAATTATTTTTTAGTAGAGAAAATGTGTTCTATGCAGAATATTGCTATTATATCTGGATGAAGAATGTTTTTTTTCCATTTTTTAAAATCTTGCCAGTATAATGTTATATTTATAGAATATAAAAAGTTAAGAAGATACTCTTCTTCAATTACTTGCCTATTCAATATTTCTTGAGTAACGATGTTTTATCAATAATGACATCAGATCAAGATAATAAAATACGTCAGATCCAGATTCGATAAAAGAATCACAGAAACTGCTACATCAAAGAGCTTTTCCAAAAAGATGCTCATAACATGGGAAGATTAGTATATAAATCTGACAAAGTAGGCCAGTTAATGTTTAGAAAAACATACAAGATATCCACAACTTGTTATTCAGAAACATATTTTAATCACAACTGGTTTTGGGTGACTTTAAACTTTCCTCATAGGTTGAAGGCTCTACAGTTAAATGTAGAAAAAAATGTAAAAGAAAAAACTACAGCAGTTCACTGATTAAAAATTATCTATTTAAACAATCTAGAGAAATGGAAGACATAATGAGATGTCTGGAGGAGATAAGCAAAACATATGGAATAAAGCAAAATAGGAATAATACAAAGATCATAATAGTAGACAGAGCTTCAAATAATCTTCAAAATATTAAAGAAATTGGGTGCTTTGAAGTAGTAAATAGTTTCATATACCTGGGGTCCCTAATTACAAATGACGAAGGGTATGACAGAAAGATACATAGAAGGTTGAATATTGCTAGAACAGCTATGAGAAAACTGATAACAATTTGGAAAAATTTTAGCATAATAATAAACACAAAACTAAGGCTGGTAAGTGCACTCTTTTTCCCATAGCCATATATGCATCCGAAACGTGGACCTTAAAGACAGCGGATAAAAATAAACTAGACGCTTTTGAAATGTGCGCTTAAACAAATACAACAGAGATATTTGCAGTATTTTGGATACATTGCAAGAAGAACAGGTACGATAAAAAAACTGATAGTCGAGGGCATGTTGAAAGAAAGAGACCTAGGGGAAGATCTCCAAGCCATTAGGTAGATCAAACAAAAATATTGATTAACCAAGGGTTACATAAAGCCGAACAACTAGCCCAGGACAGGGAAGGATGGAGAGAAATTAGAAAAAGGCTGTAAAGGCCTAATAGCGTCATCACATCCCAAAAAGGGATTTGGACTGAGGAGGAGGAGGACCTGTTAATACACAGTTGTTATTTTAATATACTTCTTTGTGATATTTTTGATTAAACATTATACCTACAAAATCGTTAAAATTTACACAAAATAAATCATTAAAAGTAAATATAATGTAAAAGACGATACCGTTAAATTTAATGGATCAGCTACATTTTCTACAGCATCAGCCACTTTTTCTTTGACTTCTTTTACTTTGTCCTGTAAGAATACAGAATTAATCGCGAGTTTATGATTAGCGGTAGATGCAGTCGTACCTTTAGATTAAGTGGATCTAGAATATTGCCCAAGAGATCAACTGGTTTAGGTTTATTTTCCTGCGATAGTGTATCTATCAGTGTTTTTGCTTTATTCTCGATAAAAAAATATTAAAATCTAATTCTAAGAGATAGCTATCGACGAAAATTATAATTGGTAGTGCAACGTGATATTTATTTTTCATTGATTGTAATACATAATATCAAAAAAATTGTACCGCAATAATTAAGAGACTAAATGTAAACAAATACTTTTTTGCAATCTAGCTAAAATTTTACATTTGCGGTGATCTGTTGACATTTTTACGCCGCCTTTATGTTGTGCAATATTTTAGTTCTTTCAGATTGTATAGTAACTATAAATAAACCCAACTTTTGTTATAAGATCCTCATTGAATTAAAATATTAAATTATTTCAGTTTCATGAATCAGGCACACCAGTTTTATTGAAATTTGTATTTCTGAATGAACGAAAAGACCATGAACTCTAACGATAAAGAAATATCAGGTAAGTGCTTCCCCTAACCATGTTACGCGATTTTGTCTAAATCTTCATAAAGCGAATTATGCAAAGTATCTGAAACTTCAGCAAGAAGAATGAACTACTAGAAGGTTTACGAAAGCATAACGAATTTCAATAGTTTTACAGAAATCTAAACAAAATGAGCAAAGAGTTTAAGCCAAGAATAACGAGATATAAGGTTAGAGATGGGAATATCCTGATTAATATGGCCTTAATCTCGAACAGATGGGTTGAATTTTTGATGCAAAATTTAATGGCCATCATAACAAAAACGTAGATAACATTAACAGATCGAAAGTTCTTTCAACCCAAAAGAAAGCCTACCTACCATTAACAAGATTGCCCCATCCTTTAAAAAGCTTAAGAATAATAAATTACCAGGAAGTGATCGAATGTGCAGTGAACTCTACAAGAATGGTGGCGACGTCCTTTTTATTTCTTCTGTTTTTATTTAGATATCTGGAAATAGATATAACTAGGTACGGAGATGTTGAGGATCTCTTAATGACACAATCTAGGTTAACAAACACCTAAGACAAGAATCTATAAAGTAGCAATTAGACCTATATTATTATACACAGCGGATACAAAACCTGACACATCTAAAACGAGACTACTACTAGAATCAACAGAGATGAAAATACTCCGACGAATATCAGGAAAAAGTCTGTTGGACAGACATGACAGACAGAAAGAGCATGCAATATAGAAGACATAAATGGATAAGTGATAAAACTAAAACAGGAGTGGAGCAAACATATCGTAGAATGAAAGAGGATAGGATAGTACCAATAACACGAGATAAGTCACCAAATGAACAAAGAAGTATTAGCAGACCAAGAAAAAGACGGTGCAATCATTCTAACAATTTAGGAGGCTAATATTAAAGAAGAAATAGGCTTTTAAGCCTACATAAAAGAAGGAAGAAGAATAAGAAGCGTATGATTTAAAAAAAGAACACTAACTAGAGTACGCAAATTTGCCCTATCCTCTGTGTATTTCTATACCATCAGATATTCTGACGTTGGCAGTCTGATTAAAATACAAATGAAATATTATTATGATTTCTTTTATCTATATTTTAATCTTGCAGTTGGATGTAGGTGATTATGGCGGCCTTATCAAAGGCTTTATTTAAGTCGATTTAACAAATAGAAGGTGGTTCAACAATATTCTTACATTTTTGAGTATAAAAAATCCGAATATTGTCTCTCGTGTACCAAATATTAAAAAAAAAATGTATGAATACGGAAAATGTTTAAATTAATTAAATGAGAGGAGACATATAGCGTAAGAAGCAATGTAGACTTAAGATCAGTTAAACAGCTTATGGCGGCCTAAGTACACAACTATAAAGTTTAAGATGATTGTGACCATAAGAGGGGATGACTGAAAAAAAAACTTACACAAATATTGATAAAAAGACATTGTTGATAAAAAACAGTTAGTCAATAAATTGGACAAAGACAGAAAGTGTTTAAATAGGAGTGGAAAAGCTAGGAACTTTTAAAAGTGAAATGCTAAAGATACGGGCACATAGGGCCTCAATCAGCGTTAGTAGAAGGGTAGCCACTTGAAGACACTTTGACCTTTGTCCTCTGACTTCAACAAGCTCCGTTGACATTTGTTTCCAGTCCACGCTCAAGCCATTCCGGTTATGCTAACTGCTTAAAATTTGTTAAAGCTGTTAAAGACCTGATCAATACTTGATCAAGGCCTGTTCAAGGCCTGTTCAATATCGTTTTAAGACCTGATCAAAAACCTGTTCAAGACCTGATCAAGACCTGTTCGAGATCTGACCTAAAGCTGTTCAAAGATTGATCATATACCTACATTTTACGATAAATAAAGATTTGAAAAGACAACTTATAACAAAACGAAAAAACATTCAAAGTAAATTGAGACAACTCAAACAAGGACAAATAATTCAAAAAGATTTATTCGTTGTAAAATGTAGGTATATCATCAATCTTTGAACAGCTTTAGATCAGGTCTCGAACAGCTTTTGATCAGGTCTTGAACAGGTCTTCATCAGGTCTTGATTAGATCTTAAACAGCTTTAACAAATTTTAAGCAGTTGGCATGAACGGAGCGGCTTAAGCGTGGATTGGGGACGAATGAAGATAGGGCTTGTGACGTCAGGAGTTAAAGGTTAAAGTGTGTTAAGTAGATACCCTTCTACTAGGGTTTATTTATATTCTCAACCAATTATAATTTTCCCAATGGTTTATTATTTGAACTGAGGTGTACCTTTAACTGTAAAGGATCCAATATACTTCCAAATAAGTTAAGTTTATCTTTGGGCGGAGCATTAGTGACTTCCTAAAATTTAATAATATTTAACGACATACCATAGTAAGTTCAGTAGCAGAAGAATTACCTTTAAATTTAAGGGGTCAGGAATTTTTTCTACTACGTCAGAAACAGTATCAGTTAGATCTTCAAGTTTTTCCTAGAAGTTTTAGTTTAGTATTTTTAAATTTGTAGAATCGTAGCTAAATAGTACCTTTAACTTAAGTGGGTCTAAAATATTGCCCAAGAGATCATCAGAATTTCGTGTATCATTTGTAGAAAATTTGTCATTTAGTTCTTTTACTTTATCCTGCAAGTATAAGAAAACTCTACAGATACGTTATTATAAATGTTTGAGATTTACCTTTAAATGTAATGGATCTAATATATTTCTTAATAAGTTTGGATTATCTTTAGTTGAATCATTCATTTTATCCTAAAATTTTTTAATATTGTAAAAAATATTATTCGAGTTTACTGGTAAAATAAATTACCTTTAAGTTTAGAGGATCTGAAACATTCTCTACTACGCTAGAAACAGTATTAGTAAGATCTTTAACTTTTTCCTAGAAAAGACTGGTTTAGTGATTATGGATTTGGAGAATTTTATTAAAAGAGTACCTTTAAATTGAGCGGATCTAAAATATTGGCCAAGAGGTCATCTGGATTGTTTGTACTCTCTGTAGAAATTTTTTTATTAAGTTCTTTTACTTTATCCTACAAATATAAGAAAACGTACAATCACGTTGAAACCATTTTTAGGAAGAAATGTACCTTTAAGTGTAAAGGATCTAATAGATTTCCAAATAATTCCGGATTACCTTTTACAGAATCATTTACTTTTTCCTAGAATTAAACGATATTTTATATAATATTATATTTATTTAAATTTTATACCTTTAAATTTAAGGGATCAACAAAAATTTCTACTACATCAGAAGCTTTTACCGCTATGTCATTAGCCTAGAAGACAATGTTTTAGTAATGGAAGTATTGTGATATATGATAACTAGGGAGTATTGTACCTTTAAATTTAAAGGATCTAATAAGTTGCCAAAAATATCAACTGGTTTTACTGTCTGCTGGATTTTTCGCCTAAAAAAATGTTTTAGACCATATTATTTTAGTTATATATAAACAATCAAGAAGTACCTTAAATTCTATTGGATTTATAATTTGATCAACTATATTAGATGCTTTTTATGTTAAATCTATGGCTTTATTCTAAAAAAGATCAAGTTCTACTAAGGATAAAAATTGCAATAAACTAGTACCTTTAGTTCGAACTAATCTAGTAGTTTTTGTGAAATAATAAATTTTGTGTTCTAGTGAATTTTTGTTTGAGGAGTTGTTTGGTTTGGAGTTTGCAAAATTTTCTACTGTATCAGAAACTTTTTCAGTTAAATCTTTAACCTTATCCTCAAAAGTTTATTAATATACCTTAACTGCTCGCGTAATTGGTTTAAACAAATTAGGTAGTACCTTTAACTTTAGACTTTATTGACTCTATTGAAGCTGGCAATGGGATAAAATATGGAGATTTCCTAAGTCCTCTACTGTTCAACCGAAAAATTTAACATTTTCTCAAAAAAGACAAATTCATGGTTATGACAGCAAATTTACTAAGATGTAAATTGGAGCTGGAAAGTCAGATAACGAATAGAGCAAGCAGAGATGCAGGTTGTCTGAATGTAACAATATAGAAAAATAAAAATATCGGGAAATAAATGAAAGGTAAAATTTACGAAACGGTTAAGAGACCAATAATAACATACGCTGCGGAAACAAGACCTGACACATCGAGGAAAAAGGATGTTAGAAACAGCAGAGATAAAAACTCTTAGAAAAATTGATGGTAAGACACTATGCGAGAGATCTAGAAGTACAGATATACGATGTAGATGCAAGGTGGAGAACATCAAGGAGTTGGTACAAAATAGAAGAGTAGAATGGACGATCATATAAGCCGAATGACAACAAATGGAGTAGTAAAGACGGTAATATAGAGTTTCCAATAAAAAGACAGTTAGCAGAAAGATCACGAAAACTATGGGATGACAACTTATTAGAGGAACATTAAAAAACAGACAGAGTCATGTCTACAAGAAAATAAAAAAATTTTTGTTTGCTAATTCTTAGGTATAGCCTAAATCATAATAAGGTAAAAGTTACAGAGTTACCTTTAGATGCAATGGATCTAGCATATTACCAAGAATATTTAACTGAGGTGGTGGTTTGGGGTCTGTAATATTTCCTATTCTATCAGAAATCTTATCAGCAATCTCTTTGGTTTTATCCTAGAATTTTATTAAATATTTATTTGCCCATACTTTGTACCGTCTTGAGTTAGTACCTTTAAGTTTAGAGGATCTAATAAGTTACCCAAAAGTTTCTCTGGATGGTGTTTTTCATCAGACAAAATTTTAGCTTGCTGGTCTGCAGTATTTTGTATCGCGTTTGAAATCGTATCAGTAATGTGTTTAGCTTTGTCCTAGAACATTATTAAGTATTTATATTTGATAGTTTGTATCGCGTTTTATAAAGCATACCTTTAAATTTAATGGATCTAATAAATTATCTAACAGATTAAGCTGGGCAGGGTTTTCTTCCGAAAAAGGTTTTTGATTGGGGTCTGCAATATTTTTTACTGTATTGAAAGCGACATCAGTGATATTTTTGGTTTTATCCTAGAATATAAATATATAAACAATTATGTCGTTAAACAATTATGAAACCGTTTATATGAAAGTACCTTTAAATGTAGCGGATCTAACAGATTATCCAAAAGATTAACCGGAGCAGGTTTTTCTTCCAAAGAACCTTTAGTTTTTTGGTCTGCACTATATTCTACACTACGGGAAACCTTACCAGTTATGTCTTTGTAGTTGTCCTATAATATAATTACACAAATATAACTGCATACTTAATATCGCTTTTTTACCGTTACCTCTAAATGTAAAGGATCTAGTAGATTACCCAAGAGATTTACCGGAGAAGGTTTTTCTTCCAAATAACTTTTAGTTTTGGGGTCTGCAATAGTTTCTACTGCATCAGAAACTTTATCAGTGATTTCTTTGGCTTTATCCTATAATAATATTGTATAATAATTATAATCGCCTGCTTAATATATTTTTTGTAATGTTACCTTTAAATGCAATGGATCTAACAGATTGCCCAGCAGATTATTCGGGGCAGGTTTTCCTTCCGAAAAACTTTTAATTTCGGGGTCTGCAATAGTTTCTACCGCATCAGAAACCTTATTAGTGATTTCTTTGGCTTTATCCTATAATAATATTGTACATTTATAACCGCTCATTTATTATATTTTTGATAATATTACCTTCAAATGCAAGGGATCTAACACATTGCCAAAAAGAATATTCGGGGCAAGTTTTTCCTCCGAAGTACTTTTAGTTTCGGTATCTGTAATATTTTCTACTGTATCAGAAACCTTATCAGTGATTTCTTTGGCTTTATCCTATAATAACATTGTATATTTATAAACGCCTACTTAATATATTTTTTATAATGTTACCTTCAAATGTAAGGGATCTAACAGATTGCCCAAAAGATTATTCGGGGCAGGTTTTTCTTCCGAAGAACTTTTAGTTTCGGGTTTTGCAATAGTTTGTACTGCATCAGAGACCTTATCAGTGATTTCTTTGGCTTTATCCTATAATAATATTGTATAATAATTATAATTGCCTGCTTAATATATTTTTTATAATATTACCTTTAAATGCAATGGATCTAACAGATTGCCCAGCAGATTAATCGGAGCAGGTTTTTCTTCCGAAGAACTTTCAGTTTTGGGACCTGCAGTAGTTTCTACTGCATCAGAAACTTTATTAGTGATTTCTTTGGCTTTATCCTATAATATTATCATATAATTATAACCGCCTACTTAATATATTTTTTATCACGTTACCTTTAAGTGCAAGGGATCTAAAAGATTGCCCAGCAAATTAATGGGAGCAGGTTTTTCTTCCGAAGAACTTTCAGTTTTGGGATCTGCAATAGTTTCTACTGCATCAGAAACTTTATCAGTGATTTCTTTGGCTTTATCCTATAATATTATAATATAATTATAACCGCCCACTTAATATATTTTTTATTACGTTACCTTTAAGTGCAAGGGATCTAAAAGATTGCCCAGAAGATTATTCGGGGCAGGTTTTTCTTCCGAAGTACTTTTAGTTTCGGGGTCTCTAATATTTTCTACTGTATCAGAAACCTTATCAGTGATTTCTTTGGCTTTATCCTACAATTTTGTTACAAAATTATAACCCAATACTTATTATGCCTTGTATGAAGCTACCTTTAAATGCAGGGGATCTAACAGATTACCCAAAAGATTAACCGGAGCAGGTTTTTCTTCCAAAGAACTTTTAATTTCGGAGTCTGCAATAGTTTCTACCGCATCAGAAACCTTATCAGTGATTTCTTTGGCTTTATCCTATAATAACATTGTATATTTATAAACGCCTACTTAATATATTTTTTATAATGTTACCTTCAAATGTAAGCGATCTAACAGATTGCCCAAAAGATTATTCGGAGCAGGTTTTTCTTCCGAAGAACTTTTAGTTTTCGGGTTCTGCAATAGTGTGTACTGCATCAGAGACCTTATTAGTGATTTCTTTGGTTTTATCCTGTAATAGTATCACATAATTATAACAGCATACTTAATATATTTTCCATCACGTTACCTTTAAGTGCAAGGGATCTAAAAGATTGCCCAGCAGATTATTTGGAGCTGGTTTTTCTTTTGAAGAACTTTTAGTTTCGGGGTCTGCAATAGTTTCTACTGCATCAGAAACCTTATCAGTTATTTTTTTGGCTTTATCCTATAATAATATTGTATAATAATTATAATCGCCTGCTTAATATATTTTTTATAATATTACCTTTAAATGCAATGGATCTAACAGATTGCCCAGCAGATTAATCGGAGCAGGTTTTTCCTCCGAAGAACTTTCAGTTTTGGGATCTGCAATAGGTTCTACTGCATCAGAAACTTTATCAGTGATTTCTTTGGCTTTATCCTATAATATTATCATAAAGTTATAACCGCCTACTTAATATATTTTTTATCATGTTACCTTTAAGTGCAACGGATCTAAAATATTGCCCAGCAAATTAATGGGAGCAGATTTTTCTTCCGAAGAACTTTCAGTTTTGGGATCTGCAAGAGTTTCTACTGCATCAGAAACTTTATCAGTGATTTCTTTGGCTTTATCCTATAATATTATAATATAATTATAACCGCCCACTTAATATATTTTTTATCACGTTACCTTTAAGTGCAAGGGATCTAAAAGATTACCCAGCAAATTAATGGGAGCAGGTTTTTCTTCCAAAGAACTTTCAGTTTTGGGATCTGCAATAGTTTCTACTGCATCAGAAACGTTATTAGTGATTTCTTTGGCTTTATCCTATAATATTATCATATAATTATAACCGCCTACTTAATATATTTTTTATCACGTTACCTTTAAGTGCAAGGGATCTAAAAGATTGCCCAGCAAATTAATAGGAGCAGGTTTTTCTTCCGAAGAACTTTCACTTTTGGGATCTGCAATAGTTTCTACTGCATCAGAAACTTTATCAGTGATTTCTTTGGCTTTATCCTATAATATTATCATATAGTTATAACCGCCTACTTAAAATATTTTTTATCATGTTACCTTTAAGTGCAAGGGATCTAAAAGATTGCCCAGCAAATTAATGGGAGCAGGTTTTTCTTCCAAAGAACTTTCAGTTTTGGGATCTGCAATAGTTTCTACTGCATCAGAAACGTTATTAGTGATTTCTTTGGCTTTATCCTATAATATTATCATATAATTATAACCGCCTACTTAATATATTTTTTATCACGTTACCTTTAAGTGCAAGGGATCTAAAAAGATTGCCCAGCAAATTAATGGGAGCAGGTTTTTCTTCCGAAGAACTTTCACTTTTGGATCTGCAATAGTTTCTACTGCAATCAGAAACTTTATCAGTGATTTCTCTGGCTTTATCCTATAATATTATCATATAGTTATAACCGCCTACTTAAAATATTTTTTATCATGTTACCTTTAAGTGCAAGGGATCTAAAAGATTGCACAGCAAATTAATGGGAGCAGGTTTTTCTTCCAAAGAACTTTCAGTTTTGGGATCTGCAATAGTTTTCTACTGCATCAGAAACGTTATTAGTGATTTCTTTGGCTTTATCCTATAATATTATAATATAATTATAACCGCCCACTTAATATAATTTTTATCACGTTACCTTTAAGTGCAAGGGATCTAAAAGATTGCCCAGCAAATTAATAGGAGCAGGTTTTTCTTCCGAAGAAGTTTCAGTTTTGGGATCTGCAATAGTTTCTACTGCATCAGAAACTTTATCAGTGATTTCTTTGGCTTTATCCTATAATATTATCAGATAATTATAACCGCCCACTTAATATATTTTTTATCACGTTACCTTTAAGTGCAAGGGATCTAAAAGATTGCCCAGCAAATTAATGGGAGCAGGTTTTTCTTTCGAAGAACTTTCAGTTTCGGGATCTGCAATAGTTTCTACTGCATCAGAAACTTTATCAGTGATTTCTTTGGTTTTATCCTATAATATTATCATATAATTATAACCGCCTACTTAATATATATTTTATCACGTTACCTTTAAGTGCAAGGGATCTAAAAGATTGCCCAGCAAATTAATGGGAGCAGGTTTTTCTTCCGAAGAACTTTCACTTTTGGGATCTGCAATAGTTTCTACTGCATCAGAAACTTTATCAGTGATTTCTTTGGCTTTATCCTATAATATTATCATATAGTTATAACCGCCTACTTAAAATATTTTTTATCATGTTACCTTTAAGTGCAAGGGATCTAAAAGATTGCCCAGCAAATTAATGGGAGCAGGTTTTTCTTCCAAAGAACTTTCAGTTTTGGGATCTGCAATAGTTTCTACTGCATCAGAAACGTTATTAGTGATTTCTTTGGCTTTATCCTATAATATTATCATATAATTATAACCGCCTACTTAATATATTTTTTATCACGTTACCTTTAAGTGCAAGGGATCTAAAAGATTGCCCAGCAAATTAATGGGAGCAGGTTTTTCTTCCGAAGAACTTTCAGTTTTGGGATCTGCAATAGTTTCTACTGTATCAGAAACTTTATCAGTGATTTCTTTGGCTTTATCCTATAATATTATAATATAATTATAACCGCCCACTTAATATATTTTTTATCACGTTACCTTTACATGCAAGGGATCTAACAGATTGCCCAGAAGATTATTCGGGGCAGGTTTTTCTTCCGAAGTACTTTTAGTGTCGGGTTCTGTAATATTTTCTACTGTATCAGAAACCTTATCAGTTATTTCTTTCGATTTATCCTATAATAATATTGTACATTTATAACCACCTACTTAATATATTTTTTATAATGTTACCTTCAAATGCAAGGGATCTAACAGATTGCCCAAAAGATTAACCGGAGCAGGTTTTCTCTTCCAAAGAACTTTTAATTTCGGGGTCTGCAATAGTTTCTACGGCACCGGAAACCTTATCAGTGATCTCTTTGGCTTTATCCTATAATAATATTGTACATTTATAGTCGCTCATTTAATATATTATTATTCCATAATAATATTAATTAATTATAACTGCATGCCTAATATTGTTTTTATGAAGTTACCTTTAAATGTAATGGATCTAATAGATTACCCAAAAGATTATTCGGGGCAGGTTTTACTTCCGAAGAGCTTTTAGTTTCAGGTTCAGCAATATTTTCTTTTGCGTCAGAGACTTTATCAGTAATATCTTTAGCTTTATCCTAAAATATTATTTTATAATAAGAGATGAACATATTTTATAGTTTTGTATTTTCTAGTTCGTACCTTCACATGTAAAGGATCTAATAGATTACCCAGAAGATTAACAGGAGCAGGTTTTTCTTCCGAAGAAATTTTAGTATCAGACTCTTCATGATTTTTTAGTGAATCGGAAACCTTATCAGTGATATCTTTGGCTTTATCCTAGAATGTAATTAAATAATTTTAATTCCAAAAATGGTACCTTATTTAAGAAAGTACCTTCAAATGCAGAGGATCTAGTAAATTTCCCAGAAGATTGGGAGGACTTGATTTCTTTTCATCTATAACTGCAGTGTTTTCCTAAAATATTTGTATTAGAATATAACTTTTTCACAAGTTCAAAAAAGTACCTCCGTTTTTATTGGGTTTGTGACATTGTCCACTTTTTCGACTACTTTTTCAGCTACATCTTTAGCTTTATCCTAAAATGTTTAACTTGATTTATTATAAGGTTTGGAGAAAGTATTATATAATTAGATAGTACCTTTAGATGCAAGGGATCTAGAAGATTACCTAGAAGATTTACTGGAGCAGGTTTATCTTCCGAAGAATTTTCAGATTTGCCATCAGCACTATTTTCTACTGCATCGGAAACTTTTTTAGTTAAATCTTTTGCTTTGTCCTAAAATACGAAAGACAAATCTGGATTCAATAATTTCGGGGCAATAATAAATATTACCTTAAGATGCAGTGGGTCAAAAATATTACCCAAGATATTTGGAGGTTTTTCCTCGTTGGTATCCTTTGCTTTATCTTTTAAATGAAGGGGATCGAAAATATTAAATCCTGGAGATTTCTTTTCGGTAGTATCTTTATCCTGTGAATTATCTATTTTTTGTTATATGTAACTAATCTTGCAGATTATTGGTCTTTTAATGATAGAAAATTTTGTAGCAAAGCTTGAAAGCCAAAAAGTAAAAGTACACGGGATATCGATATTTGAAAAATGATAAAAGAATTTAAGGCACTGATGTATGTGAAAGTGTGTTTTAATGTACTTATTAGCACAATTTAAATAAAATACAAAATATGGAATTGTTTAAGTAAATTTTTATGGGTTTTATAAACAAACTGATATTCATTTTGAAAAATCCAAAGAAAATTGGCGATTGGATATTTCATCTGATTGATTAAAACTATTGAAAGGGTAATAAATACAGAAATAAAACATAATATTTTCTTATAACTTTTAAATAAATAAAAGAAAACTTTAGGAAACTTTTTTAAATCTCGAAGTTTTAAGGGTTACTTCAAAAATTCTTGATCTCTTACTAATCTATATAAAATATTAGAATTAAATGAAATACTATGTAGAATTGTAGAATAAAAAATAAATACACCTACTTTAAATGAGAGATACCTAGAACGAATAGCCAAAAGGGCGTTGAAGACTGGGTAATTTTTGAATGTGAAGAAGCCTACATGAAGAGCTATGAAATGCATAAAAACTATGTGCTCAGTTGCTATTTGAAGACCAGAGAGAGGTTAGACATACAACCTGTTAACTGGGATGAATAGACTGACTCAGAAATTCTTGAATCTGAGATTCAACAAGTTCTGAGAGAAATAAAGAATGAAAAAAGTATCTGGGTCATGATAATGTGTAAGTTAATAAAATATCTGACCCTTATTACGTATTTGTTGATCTGAATATAATGATCTAAGAAAAATTTCAAGCGACTGGTTCAACTTTACTTTTGTAATATTTTCGAAAAAAAAGTAAATCCTAAAGACTTTAGTGACTATTGACTTATTGACTATTGGCATAAATCTAATGCCCTGAAAGATTTGTTCGAGTCATACGTTCTCGAATATACTGGAAATATGAAGAAAATAGCGAAGAAACCTTTGGTTTTTTGACAGAGTTAGCTGCCAGAAAGGCTTTGTTTTCAGACAAACTATTGATTCAAATATGTTGTGATCAAGAAAAATGTTTTTGTATGTTTATTTATTATCAGAAAACCGTTTATATAACGTTTAACATATAGTCATACAAATATCATACTAAACAGATTTCTCGAGATAGAAAAATACCCAAGTCATAGTGTTCTTCTTCTTGTGATCTCCTCGACTATTGTGCGTTGGCATCAAATCGGATATTATATTGATTTTGTTGACAGTAACTCAGAAAAGGGATGCAGAGCATCTGCTAAACCATTCTCTCGTAAAAAATAACATGCATGGTCAAGGAACATTGGTGGATTGGTGTGATATTGGAGATATAGTCACAATATTCCGTCATACTTTTAAACATTTTAACGGCTTTTATTTAGTGATACCAACATTGCAATATTATTACAATAAAAGACCAATATTCCGCAATTATTTATCTTTAATTAAATATTTTCCATTTTATAACTTCTTTTTTTTTTCAGCTTATTTTTTTTAATATACGGTAATTAATGTTTAAAGTTTTTAATCAAAAGTAGTTTTTTCATATTAAATATACCGAACAATATTAATTTATTATTATGAAATTTGTTCATCTGTGAACAGGAAGACGTTTTTTAAGGAACTACAATGAAGTACCTCTGATAGGCAAATCATTAGTTCTTTGCTTAATTGCTTTGTAATAGCTTTTTTACTATCACACGAGCATATTTAAGGTATCAAAGCATGTTTTATAATGATACGTGGTATTTGTGGTTTATAGGTAATTTTTTGGAATTATTTTTCTCTAACGGAAAGGGAACAAAATGAGACATTAGGAAGAAATAATTAGAGGTAGACCTATAAACCTTGAAACAGTGTACCGTTATGAAACAGTAGTTTGAAGTAAGGTATAAAATTGTTTAAGAGTTTACTTAAGATTAAAATAATAATTTGAATATGAAAAAATGTATTAAAATTCATTTAAGTATTTTTTAAAATATTTCAAAACTATAATAATATATTTTTTCTGTAAATATTATCTTGCGAGGTACTTATTAAGAAAAATCTTGTAAATATGCAATTTACAAAGCTTAATATCGTCACTTACCAGAGCAACGTAAAAGAAGTATCCAATTCTTCGATCTACTTTAGCTCACGACGTATCAATTTTCATGGTGTGCTTACTGTGGAACATTTGAAAAAACTTTTACGCTTCCTTTATTCACTGGACATCAAAACCCATAGGAAAAGCAACGCTTCAGATAAATGCCAGGTGGGAACAAAACAGGATAAATATTACCTCACAAGTCTGTGCGCCATAACAGAGACAGCGACAGTGTACATTCTACTAATTATGGAAACATAAAGTTCAGCTGCAAATATTCTAAAGGCAATAAATTTTCTATAATTTTGTTAGTAAATTCAGTGAGATTTTGCAGTCATCTGATTTCAAATTTGATTTTGTTATAAAATAGTCTAAGAGATGTTTTAAGTGTAATGATTTTAGGTAAAGAAATAATAAATAAGATTTACTCACAATCAATTTAATTTTCGCTTGTGGTTTCCACATGTGGTTTCGCTTTCCACAATATGCAAAGCATCTTCAGGTCTCGATACAAAGTTAAATAAATGATGCCAGTACTCTATTAATTGGTGGATTGTAGAACATGGTTGAAACTATCATGTATTGTTGAACCATGTTCAACAATATTCTACCATCCATCAATTAATAGAGTACCGGCATCATTTATTTACCTTTGTATCGAGACCTGAAGATGCTTTGCATATTGTAGAAAGCGAAACCGGTCGTCTGAATGGTTAAATTAAATTGATTGTGAGTAAGTTTTATTTATTATTTCTTTACCTATTTGAAATGGACTCACACAAGCAACACATTCATGATTTGTAATGATTATCTCTAAAGTTATCAATAGATAAGAAACTTTGTTCCTATTTAAGATATTCTAGTGGTATTTTTAATGAACTGTTAGAAAAAAGACATAAACTGCTGTAATTATGCGGCGCATAGCATCACTCTCCCGTTTTCCTAGAGATCAGGAAATTTGGGTGGTTTTAACGGAATTCGTCACTGAAAATGGTGCATCAAGGCTGGAATTTTTTAAATGAAGTGTTAACATTTATTGTGTCTGGCGATTCATCACGAATATTAAGATAAACTTTAAAAAATTATAAAATTGTCGCACGAAAAGTTTAATAATTGTTTACACTACATTGATTGACTTAAAAATATGTTGCTGCTAAACCACACCCTGGATTTTTGATCCTTTAATGTTGTTTACGTCAAGAAATGTTAAAATTTATAAAGAATATATTTACGAAGTCGAGTAACTTCCGGTAGATGGCTCTGTGCAAGACTTTTAGCGTATACCTCGTACAAAGTAAAGCTCCCGTATGTTACGGCTCAGTGCTTTAGTGGCTAGGCAAACCTTAATTAAAGCCAATACCGAGAGTGTAAGTTTTAAATTTAGTGACAACTTTTTACATTTTACGGTTGTCTGCTGTTAATAACAGCTATTAGATTTTTCCCTCTAAAATTTAAAAGCCTTTTAGAACTAACAAGGTAATTACATTTCCAAATGACAATTACTTTAACGTTAATTTCCGTGTTCTCTATCCCTTTACATTATGATGAAAAGGTTGTTAGGAGCTGCCAAAAACAAAAAGTTTTTAATTTACCATTATACTGAAAGTTTTTGCTCTCGTAGGATGTTTAAGGTTACGTTTTAATGCTTAAAAGAGGTTAAAGCTTTTTGTTATTCAATTTTATTAAAGATAATTGGGTTCAGACGTAAGCAAAAACGGTATTTTATTTTTGTAAAATTAAGGGGAAAACCCCGTAGTTGGCTGTAACTTTATAAAAAGTGTCGTCAAAATTTAAGTACTAGCATAACGTTTTCGTTCTGAACAGATCATCCTTAGTGTCTTGTGTAATTGTAGCTAACAATAAAGTTATCTGTGAAACCTCCATATATGGATTTACACACAGCCACCTTTACTTCCAAGATATGAAGTAGAAATTTGGCAACAAGACGTGGTAGTCCGACCGTGGTTTGTTTTGTTTAACATTTCATATAGGAAGGCTTGTAAAGTTTGTTGAATTTAATGTTTTTTTAACTTTATTCGAATGTTTTATTTGTAAATTGTGTTTATATATTAGAAAATATTAATACAAGTGAAATTTCATTAAGTTTAGAACTTTTAGAAGATTCTTAACGACAAATTAAAAGGCAAGTATAAATATAACCTAAAAAACAAACTGAAAATAATAATACTTTTGCTTCTTGTTACAAAATATGTAAACTAAAAACAACAATAATAATACTTTTGTTTTTTGTTACAGATGCTCTGGTATTGTTGTGTACCTGGTTGCAAAACCAATTATGCCAGTACTTTAAAAACGAAACAGGCAGAAAGTACGTTTTCGTTTCCCAAAGATCCCCAAAGAAGATATACTGGGTTATGCTCTATTCATAGAAAAGGCTATACAATTACCAAATCTTCCGTAGTATGTGCCAAACATTTTCATGAAGATGATATTCAGCGGACTGAACAATGAAAAGATAAAGATGAAAATGTACACATTGAACAGTTAATATTTCCCAAATTAAAAGACAATGCAGTTCCTAATATATTTTCTGAAGTACCATCATATGTAACTTTTCATCGTACTAAAGAAAGAAGGAATCCCGAAGGCAGAAGAAACTTTTTGCATAAGAAAAGGGAACAAGAGATAACAGAATTCTTAGACAATAATTTAATAGATTCATTTGAATCATTTTCAAGAGACTTATACAATAATATCCCATTGAAAAACTGGACAAGTAAAAGTACAAGTGACTGTGTATATTTCTATGTATTAAACCTTATTCAGTTGGGACACGAGTGTGATAATATTTGTGTAATAAGTAGTGTAATAGTTAGCAG